TTTATGAAATTGAATTTGAACCTCCCTCCCTGATTCTCAAATTTTAACTATACACCAATCAACGACGAGTACATCAGCTAATGTAATATAAATTGAACTATTTATATTTTAAATATTTTTTATTAATATCCAGGGTTTATCATTTTGACTGCGAGCCACTCTATATTTTGTAATAAAATGGTACTCATTAAATTCTATCACTATACAATATAGCTATTGTGGTTTCAGGATCCAAGAAGAAGGGAAGTAGAAGAAGAACAAGCAGGACTCCAAGGATACCTTTCACATCTGGACAACTGATTGCTCTGGAGCAAAGGTTCCAAGCCAGTCCATACTTGAACACCGAAGAGGCTGCGCATCTTTCTTCTCTTCTGCGCCTCTCGGAACTAAGGGTAAAGTCTCATACAATGCCTTCTCACAATTTTTTTTTTTTTTTTATTACTTTAATGGAATTTACAACTGTATTACATAGAGAATACAATAAGTAAATGAGAAATTTGTAACATGGCATGTACAACATGAAGAGAAACTACCCATGGGTAGAACTCAAATTAAAGTTCTATATTAGAAGATCCCGAGGCCATCTTCTTTTCAGATGCCTCGGAGGGTTATCAGGGATCGAGGAGGAAGCAAGGTTTGAAACGAGAGGATTCGGATGGTTCTGCAGTTTATTGTGGAAGGAAAGGTATCTGGATTGGGCCAGATCGGAAACATATGGAACATTAAGGTCTTTATGGATGATTTTATTTGTGACAAAGTAAGGAGCATTGAGGATTTTACGAAGGATTTTGGATTGTAAGGTTTGGATACGCTTCTCACAATTTAAAACATATTTTTAAGAACTCATTTGGTAAAAGTATCCAAAAGGGATAATTGATATCCACTTATATTAGTTATATCCAAGAGGGCCTCAAGTGGCTTTTCAGCAATGGAGATGGATTTTCATCTTCTATTAATGTACTGGTATGTCCATGCTTTGGTTATATTAAATAACTTTAATGGAAGGGTATCGTTCGTGCATTATAACTTAAATTTCACAATGCCTTTCTTGTTGTTGTTGTTTTTGATGTTCGGTGGACTCTCGCGAGAATTCGAAGCAAAACATAAACGCGTAATGAATTACTCAATACGTTTTGTTTTCGGAATCTCAAGAGATACGTATATTACCCAGTATTACACCGAATTGAAGTGGCTCTATCCATTCTGCCGTCATCATTATTTCCTACCTACTTTTCTGTGCCGCATTATTAGAACTCAATGACCCTCCTACCTTTTTCATAATTTACACTTTAAATTCTCCATTCAATACCGTTCTACTAGATCTCGTACTCCCGACCTTTATTCTCCTCCCAACCGAACTGTTGCGTTTGACAAATCCTTTGTAATTCAAGCCAACTTCCTCCTGATATTCGAAACGCACAATCAGTTTGCTCTTTCAAATCTCTTTGCGTGTTTTTCAATCTAATTTGATTAAATATTTAAAAAGCTAAGCTATTGGAACCACGAGACATTTTTATATTTAAAAATATTTTTGGAAAAATTTTATTTATGATATTTACAACTGTATAAATAAAAATATATCAAGTAAATGTGTACACAGAAATATAATCACATGAAAACTCTTGTTTAGAATTTACCCACTGGTAGCACTCTAATAATATGTCTACAAAAAGAGATCACGCGGCCATCTTCTTATCAGACGCCTCGGAGGGTTATCAGGTATCAAAGAGGAACCAAGGTTAAAAACGAGAGGATTCGGATGGTTATTAAGTTTATTATGGAAGGATAGGTAATCTGAATTGAGCCAAATCGGAAACATATGTAACATTAAGGTCTTTATGGATTATTGTTTTGTGACAAAGTAAGAAGCATTAAAGATTTTTCGAAGGATTTTGGATTGTAGGGATCGGATACAAGAGGAATTTGATAGTTTATTAGAACTCCAAAGCTCGATCCTGTAAGTTTAAATCGGCCTTATTATAGTATATATGAGTCTTTTGTAAATGGTTGGAACTTTAGAGTGTTTGTCTAGTAAATGCTGCAATAGTCGACGTCGGGCTGTTTCTAGTCGTTTCATTCTGGTATGAGGATTCCAAGTGAGACGTTTGTCCAGGTGGAGTCCTAGGTATCGGATTTATTCAACAGGGATAAGCGGTATGTTATTAAAGGATACTGATGGAATTTATTGGAATTTATTTTAATCCTCTAGAAAAAAAAATTAAATCATATTTGTTACAAAAAGATAAAATTATCTTAATAAATAAAGATAAATACATTAATTAATTTAATAATTGATTATGTTTGGTAGGTGAAAGTGTGGTTTCAGAACAGGCGTGCTAGGGAACGCCGTATCAAAGGAGAGGTTCTTCATGTCACGAAGGAATCGAAACAATCTAGTCAAGCCATTACAGGAAATTGGTCAGCGTTTCATCCAGTCTTCTCATTTGCTGGAGAGCTAGCTACGAAACTTCAACACAGAATTCACCGAAATGACTATTTGTCAAACAATTCTAATTTAATTACTTCATTTACTTAAAAATTTATTCTATATTTTTGTAAACGTGGACTATATTTAAAATCTATAAATAAAAACACTAAAACAAAGTAACAATAGCGTTATTTTATATATATTACAATATAATCCTAGACTTATCTCCCATAATCCTTTTTTTTATTCCTCTTGATTAAAAGCAGAATTTTTCGGTGTTCTGCAAGATTATTATTTCATTAAAGGCCTACTGTTAAGACTGAAGTATTAAATGAAATCTAACCATTTGTTTCTCCTAGCTAAATTGCTTTTATTGCTTGGAATTTCCTCTATTCAATTTTGATAGCCTCTTATTTAAAATCTGTTTACATGCCTTTGTTAACATTTAGAAATTGTTTATATAGCCCGTGGTACAGACCCCTTTTTATCGAATTATTAACATATTTGTTTGAAATTTCGTAAATAGTTTCATCTCATCGTAACCTACAACTATTTTATTTACGAAAACTCTTGGAATCGGAACGTTTTAAATCTGAAGGGAGGAAAACTTTGTTTATTTAATTAGGTACTAAAAACTCGTAAATACACATTTGCTTTTTACTTGGATCGTAAGATAATTTGATCACAAAATAGAAAAAAAAGGTGAACTGCAAAAATATTGGACAAAACAGCTCAATATTTTTGAATGTCATATTTTTCTCTATTTTGTGATGAAATTATCTTACGACCCAAGTAGAAAGCAAATGTGCATTTACGAGTTCTTAGTACCTAATTAAATGAACAAAGTTTGCCCTCCTTTAGATTTAATCAGTTTTAATGCGTAACGGATTTTTCCGACGCCATCTTGAAACAAAATGGCAGATGGTAATGAGGCCCCCCAATGCCATCTCTCCAACATCAACTTAATGTAGATACAAAATTTCAAACTTCCAACTTTGTTAGTAGTGACTGATGAGATGCGCAACACTTTAAAAACAGGGCAAATGTGAAAAAAGTTCTTATATGCGGAAATGTTGACGAAATTTTTCCAAAGTTTTTTTTATTTTTTAAATTCACAACTGTATTAAATAATAAATACAAAAAGTAAATATGAAACAAGTATCATGACTTATACTACATGAAGAGAAACTACCCATTAGTAACACTCCAATTTCTATATTCGAAGATCCCGAGGCCATCTTCTTTTCAGATACCTCGGAGAATTATCAGGAATAGAAAACGAAGCAAGGTTGGAAACAAGAGGGTTCAGATGGTTCAGAAGTTTATTATGGAAGGATAGGTATCTGGATTGAGTTAAATCGGAAACATATGGTAAATTAAGGTCGTTATGAATGATTTCATTTGTGACAAAGTAGGAAGCATTGAGAATTTTACAAAGGATTTTGGATTGTAAGGATTGAATAGGAGAGTAATTTGGTGGTTTAGTAGAGCTCCAAAGCTCAATTCCGTAAGTCCAAACAGGCCTTATTATAGTAATATATATGAGTCTTTTGTAAATAGTTGGAAGTTTAGAGCGTATGTCTAGTAAATACTGCAGTAGTCGAAAACGTCGGGCTGTTTCTAGTCGTTCCATTCTGGTATGAGGGTTTCCAAAGTTTAATATTATTGTTCCGCCTGGGAACCAACTCTATGTACCGAATTTCAGCTTATTTGGTTGACTGTATGAACAGGGGCAGTTGGGGGAGGCGAAATGTAGCGGTGAAAAAAATATATAACTGACATCTTCATTCATGTCATTTGTCATTATCTAGGGATCCCGAAACGGATAGAAACCGCAACTCCGCCTTCCACGGACGACTTTCGATACAGTGCAAATAGTCTATGATTTTCGAAGGAAAATAGTCAAAAAGAAAATTAATCGTGCTGAGAATTTCGATCTTTCACAAATCGTTGATTATGGACGAGACGAAGAACGATTAGTGGCGAAGTCAATACGTATAATTTCATGCATGGTACCAAATTTTGTTAAATGCCTGTAGGTGCGGTTAAAATGTGAAACGTGGGGAAAAAAATTCTCTAACCCGTCGTAAATACTCCTAAACAATACCATTAGCACAAATAATATCCTTGAATTTATAGTTCTTAATGAAATACCCAGTATACTCTAAAAGGCGAGAAGAGCGGTGACAAAAGAAAACAAAAAAAAAGCTCTTTATGAAAAGATTGTGTTCCAATAAAAGCCTACATAGGATTTTCGTTAAAAAAGTACTACTTTTTTAAAAAAAATAAATAAACAACAATATTCTATATTTTAGAAAAAAATGCCTTAGTAAATTAATCGCTTTACTCTGACGTCATTGTGAAACAGAGGAGCACAAAATAATGTTATCCACCAAGCTGCAAAGTTGCTCCATTTTCATGTTTTCTGAAAAATTAAATTGGTTATTTGGGTGATTTTTGGAAATAGTTTTAATATTCCATTGATATTTGGTACTTATTTAAAAAAAAATTGTTTCTCTTTGCTTTCGTAGCTCTTTGTTTGCGAGCCAAAGTTAAAAACATTTGAAGCTGTATTATAACCTTCCCAACTAAGCTATACCACGCGGTAGCCGATTATGACTCAGTTTGACTTTGAAGTCATTGCAACAGGAATAGCAAGTTAATTTTGATCTACAGGTGTCATATAAGTACAAATTTTATTGGATTTACCGCCTTGAAGATGAGTCTGCTTATATTTTCAATAGCAGTTAGCTTTATCAATGCATTTCTCCCTAGTATCACGAAGAAGGTAATTAATTTTAAATCAATGATATAACTTATAGTAATACTAAAAAATATTTAATAATAAAAATATGTTTCAATATCTTTCTCTACTCCAGTAATATTATTAAATTTCTGTTCTGGATTAAATGTATTTATATACTGGAATATTTTTAATTTGTAGATATCAAACCATTTTACTAGAAGAAATGAAACCAGCACAATTAGAAAGGAAATTGAAAAAATTCAAGCAGAGATGAATACTCTCTCTATTAAAGATGAGTTCCCTAAATATGCAAGATTACAGAGGACACTTACAAAACTTGTTCAAGAGATTAAAAAAGAAGGTATTTATTAACGATTGAATTCTATTGATGATATATGTATCATTATATACAGTGATGGAAAAAAGTATTTGCACAACACGTTCTTATGAATAAAGTAGTTCAAGGAAACAAAAAACTTCGCTTTCCTTTGCAAAAATGAAAAGTAAATTTATTAAAAACTGAAAAAACCTTATTACAAAAAAAAATAAAAACACTTCACAATCAAACAAAATAATTAAAACAATAAAAGTGCTTGGAAAAAAGTATTTGCGCACTTCCACATTTACAAGTTTATTTTAAATTTTAATAGTTTTAATATTTTGTAAATAGGCCATTTCCGTCATTAATTGTTTGTAGACGTCTGGGCATTGAATGCACTAGGTTTTTAATTAAGTCTATGTTTATTTGTTCCCATTGTTGAACAAGAAGTTGTTTAAGGTGATGTTCACTAGTGATATGGTGTTTTCTTATATTTTGGTCAAGGGTGTGCCATAAATTTTCAATGATATTTATATCTGGTGACTGAGGATGAGTGTGGAGCTGTCTTGGAACATTAAATATTAACCACTCCATTGTTCTCCTCACAGTATGTTTTGGATCGTTGTCCTGCTGGAAATAGCACTGATCCTGGATTCCCATTTTTTCGACACTAACACGCAAATTACGTTGCGAAATGTTCACATAGCCTTCTGCTTTTAAAATGCCTTCGATGCTCACAAGATTTCCCACGCCATGGTAGGAAACACACCCCCAAACCATAACATGTCCTCCACCATGCTTTACACTTGTTAAAATATTTTGCTTCTTTATGGCTTCATTACGATGTCCCCATATTGTCCTTCGACCATCTGAACCAAACAAATTAAATTTGCTTTCGTCAGAAAAGATGACGGTTTCCCAAAAGCTTAAGGGTTTCTGTACGTACTCCCTACCAAAAGCAAGGCGCTTTTTGCGATTCGTTTCATTGATGTATGGCTTCTTTCTTGGAACTCAACCATGGAGCCCTTCCGAATTCAGGGCATATCTAATTGTTCTGCTAGTAATCTGAACTCCAGACGTTGATTGGACCACCTTTTTCCAAAAGGTTTTTCTCAGTTTTTAACAAATGTACTTTTCATTTTTGCAGAGGAAAGTGAAGTTTTTTGGTTCCTTGAACTCATTTATTCATAAAAACTTGATGTGCAAATACTTTTTCCATCACTGTATATAATTCAACCTATTTATTTTTGTCCTACTAATATTTCGATTTTTTCAGATGAAAGTTATAAACAGAAAAAATTGAGGCTCTCATATAGCATTCAGTATCTGGTGCAGGGTGTCATGGTAAGTTTTTACTTTGCCAAAATGATTATTTTATTCGTTGACGAGTACATTTTCTGTATCTAAAATTTGTTATATGTTTCATTATTATCGTTCTATTTTGTTGATAGTCTGATACTGTATATCATACCAAGCATTTCTGAGTAATACGAACGACAATTTTATTTATCTTATGCAGCTATCATTAAAAACATGCATCGTATACATTAATTGTTTAACGTATTGAAAATGCCGTTACAGAAAATATGGATACCATCAACATTAATTGTTTAACGTATTGAAAATGCCGTTACAGAAAATATTGATACCATCAGTGAAAGATGATATGTGTGAATAAATGTCAATTATTGAGGCAGGGATAGACCATTATTTTATTTTAATAACAAAATATTTGTACCTACTTATTTAATAAAGCTCTTAATTGGTGCATAGAAACATACCTTGTAGCAACCATGACTAATCGCACAGTTATCGTACCTAAAAATGTACAGTTGGCTGTTAACTGTAGCCCGGAAGTGTACTGAAATCATATTTTATCATTATGGTAAATGATTTGATATTATGATCTTTTTTGAAAAAAGTTTACTAAAAGTTAAGCTTGTAACACAATTTATATCTTCGAAAGTGTTACAATTTTCTTTAGTTCTTACATTTTTCCAGGCATACTGATGCTTGCTTATCTTAGCTAATTTGTTTGTTTGAAGTTATATAAAGCTTTTTTGAGTGAACTTTTATGTTTACTTGACCGATTTTTATGTTTGATAGGTCAAATTATCTAGTGAAATTTTATGAGTGTTTTAAAACAATTAGAGCGGTAAATAAACTGATAAAATTATTCTATTTAATATGTTTGATCAGTTCGTTTGAAGGTGTGCAGTTATTTTATGAGTGAATGGTTATGCTAATTTTAAAGTTTAAAATATCCAGTGAGTATTTTGAAACAATTTTAACTCATTTAACAAACAAATTATTACATTTAATGTACCCATTTGATGGTAACTAACAATTTTTTCAGCTAAGGGTTTGAATAATTTTTAATTTGATGGCTCAAATTACTTAATGAGATCTTCTGATCGCAAAAAAATACTACGGAAGAAACCCTTCCATTATAGGGATTGGCATATCTACTTTAAACAATGGTTAATTATTAGTAAAGTTGAAGTCTATAAATGAATAAAATTGGTGTTGTAGCCAAGTATCTTATAATGTAATTTACAGCTTCTATTTATAGGCAAGTGCATTTTATTTAATGCATTATGTTCACATACAAAAGAGTTAGAGTTGAAAGGCATCTGACTACCACCAAGATTCTATTTTTATAGATGACAATGTTACTAACAATCTACTAATTTGGATAAGTAGGTATGAAAGTATAGCCCTTAGGATAGATAGGGTCATTTCTGTAATGACCCGCTTGCATATTCGCTAGCCAATTCGATCTGTATTTAAGAATTGATGCAATTTTTTTTCTGTTGACATTACTGCCCTTGTTGATCTTTTGCAGCCTTATCCATCTCTACCTATAATTGATTATTCCTTTCTGTTATCAGGATGCAACTTTATCGCATCTTTGTAGTTTCTATCTATCCATCTGGCTTTTGGCCTTCCGCATGGTCTTTTGCCTTCTAGTTAGGTATTCATTCTTGTATAAAGGCTTCCAGATGGATCGCCTCAAGCTAAATATGCCCTGCCCATCTTAACCACCTTGCCTTCATATCATGTGATATTGATTGACCAGTTTCTGTAAGCAGCTCTTTATTGTTCTTTCTCCTCCATGTATTAGTTTTTGATTCCAGATCGCTGAGGATTTTTCTCTCAAATCTTTCAATACTTTCTAGGATCCAGGTCTCGTCGCAGCTGTATATGAGAACTTTATAGCATTGTACACCCTTAATTTTAAATTTCTTGAGATTTTTCGGGATTTCACTACCTTTGGAAGGGAGAAGAAAGCTCTATTTGCGCTTGTTATATACTGGTATATTTCCTAGGTATTTGAATTTTTCTTCGCTTGAGAGTGATTTACCTTCTACACAAATCTTGTTAATGGGATGAAATTTTCGGCTTAATATTATATAGTTAGTTTTGTCTTCAGATCTTGTATTCTCTATTACCTTAATAATTTGTTATTATCTATGATTACAGACTATACTTTCTCTCGGAATGTTCTGGCTCTTCAGATTTCATCCTGTGATTGAGTTCCCCGACGAGTGGATTTACCCTCTAGGACATGTATTATCATGGCCCACGCACTCTCCTGGTTCTATCAGCTTTCCAGTTTGGTTTCTTATAACCAATTCAGTCGCGAAAGTGGTTGCAGGAGCTTGAAACGACACTGAGACATTGCTCATAGACAGTGATTATTTGCTCAATGTAAAGTGTACCTTTTGTGAATGAAATGAACTTTTGTTTTTAGAGAGCAGTTTTTATTATCTGAATAAAAATGGTATGTCTGGAGCTGATAATAAAATAATTATTTATTAAAATTTAGTATTATTTTTCTTTTGTATAAATAAATATATATATATAAGTATTTAAGAATGTACACATTTTTTTTTATTTATCCATCTTTTTCTTAACATTCATATCTTAATATATTTTTCTAATTAATATTTATAATCAATACCATATTTTTATGGGATGAAAAGCTTTAATGTATAGTATGCTCTTCTGATCAGGACCCTGATTATTATAAAAAAATATTGAAAATTATTTCTCATACAAATAATTTAAATTTTTTTTGGTGATAAAGGATTTTGATCTAGTGTTTCATTTTTATTACAATTGTATTGATAATGTTTCAAGTTTTTTTGACCTTATTCAAGTCAAAAATATTTTCTGTTACAGAAAACATGAATATGTTATCAAAATCTGCAAATATTTCTGTTTTTACTGCAAATTAAAATCATTGTATTTGTATCACAATCACTATTATCGTAAAACAAAATAAGGAAAGACCCAATTTTTTAAAATTTTATACCTCACCACATGATTATCTTTTACTTGTCAATTATATGAACTTTTAACTAAAATAATGTCCATAAAGATATCTCATTAGTACATATTGATTCTTATCCATAAATTAATTATTTAAATTATCACCTTATTATGTTGCGAACTGATATCTAGTTTACTTAATTTTTTTAGATTAAAAAAAATATCAATAAATAATTGCATAAAAATTTTATATCTTTTCAGTTTACAAAATTACAACTGTTGCTCCATGTTGTCTTTCTGCCTACTAGGATTTATCTAAAATTATATCACTAGAATTTATGATCTTGTTAGGTATAATTAAAATTATACTGAACATTTAATACAGCGAGTAGTAAAAGTTATTTAAAGAGAAAGTATGAACTACTCACTAATTTTTCAAAAATAAACACATTTTATGTGTCAAAAGCGTATCAGAAAAATAGAAAAAAACTTGTGAGCCTTTTAAGTTAAATTGTTATATCTATAAGGAGTCCTTTGTTTCTGTGACTCTAACACTACGCTTTTAGTTTTAACTGCATAAATATTCTATATTGTATAATTTTGTTGTTCTGTTGAGATTATTTCATTTTATAACATATTAAGCTTTACATTATTGAGTAATGTATTATTAAATGTATCATAATATGTTTTGTCATCATGAACAATAAATGAATTTTGAATCTCCAATATATTTTGTTTTCTTAACCATGTTTTAATTCATAGATTGTAAATTTATAGCTACTTATATAAAAATTATCTTGTATGGGTTGGTGAAACTGCTGTAAACACTTTTATAAAGCAGCAAAAAGTTTAAAAATACACTTTTTGTGGTGTTAATTAATGTATTAAATAAATATTTATCAAAATATTGGGTTTTTAAGTCTATGAATGATTTTAATATGGGAGGTGACAAGCAAAAAAATTGTTTTTATCATATAAATTGGCAAAGGTAAAACAGTTCAGTACCTTTTCCTCTGGTTTATTGTTCTCAATAAGAACAATTTGGGAACAGTATATATAAACAAAAATGTTAATGTTAGTGTGTTCAGAATCGCTAATCTTCGAAAGTTTACCACCGATTGCAATCAAAGTCAGTTGTGTTTTTATATATATTTCATTACCATCCGACATTTCTTTTCAAAGAATATGTGTCACTATATACTGTAGTGCCAAAACAGCTGTAACAGTTTTAATGAAACTTGGGTTAAGTATTTTCCTTGAAGCCTTTTTAATTTATGTATGTAACATACTATCCTGAAAACAAGATGTAAAAAATCTTATGATGAATTCAGAATTTGATTTGTGAATAACTCATAAAGTATACAATTTTTGATTGATTATACCCATAATTACTTAAAAGGATAATTACTTCCTGAACTCTCCTAAAAATGGAAAAAAAATCATCAAAATCGAATAGAATCCTGTCTGATTAGATTTTTTTCACATTTTCTTTGGTTTATATTTTTTAGAAAGTATTATGCCTAATTTATGTTTGTTGGGTAGTTGTGAGCGAAGCGGCCTCTATGGACTGCTATCTGCTGTTATCTTGTTATTTAAAGTGTTGTTGTTGTTATTTATATTTCTTATTATTAAATATTTATAACCTCAACACTGATAATTGTTATAAGGCACTGATAATCCCTATCTTCATATGAAATTAGACTCTCGTATAATAAGAAATATAAATATATTTGGTGTTGCCTCTTTTTTGCCTGTTTCTTATTAATATATATATATTGTTTTTGGTCCATGAATATATATTAATAAGAAATATAAATATAGTAATTTAATAATAAGAAATATAAATAACAGCACTTTAAATAACAAGATAACTTCAGATAGCAGTCCATTGAGGCCGCGTCGCTCACAAGTACCCTATGTAGCTTTAGTATAAGTTCAATGTTGAAATGAAAAAATTTATTCTGACCGAAGGAGCAAAGTGGGTTCAAATATTTTGTTAAGAAGAAACCAAATTGAGATTAATATTTGCAACTGGAAAACCCTCAAATAGGAATTTTCATATCAATCAAAACGATAAGAAATATTTGCTTTAAATTTTCACTATGTGAGCTAAGTAGATTCAAATATTTTTTAGAAAAAAGTTATGATAGATTCAAATTTTTATCTGCCAATAACTCAAGAAGTACAGAAATGGTACTGTATTGTTTCCTCTTGTACATACATATAAAAGTGAACCTACGAAAATCTACGAGTACAAATAAAAATATTGGAAACTATTATGGTACTGATCTACTAACCTAATTTTTAAATTTGTTTTTCTAATGTAAGATGTCTAGTAAAGTCGTTTAGCTGGCAGCACAGAAATATTAATGGCAATCATCCAGATGAATGAAATATAACATACTATACTTCAGAGGAAATGAAAAAATGAACTAAAACCAAAGTTTCATTTAAAAAATTAGTTACTCTCTAAATAGAAATGAAAATAAACATATAAAGAAAGAAAAAGAAAATATAGGTTAAAGTAACCAGTTTCTTCGGTAATTGCACTTTTGGTTATGACCAGCTTCAAACTAAGCAACTAAGCTATATTTATATTAATTGGCACCTTTTGCTTATGTTCATTTCATTACTAGCCAATATTCACATTTCTGTAACCATATGAAATAACTCAAATATTGTACACGTCTGAAATATTTAGTTAAAGTACGCTTTAGAAGTAATCTAAAGCGTATTTTACATGAAAGAACGAACTGAACATTGTTATTTTGTTAATAATCAACGGCTACGTGCACATGAAGCTTGATACAACGTTAATGAGGCTTGTGTGAACATGCGATTTACAGAGCACAGCTTTTCATTTGGTGACTTGTTTAATATCGGGAGGTACTCGAACCTGCCCTAATTAGTACGTTATCGCCCCCAGAGCCCTAAAGCGGGATGAGCTTGGACCATTTGATCCAGGACTGGCCAATTGTCCGGATGTGGAAGAGCAGTCATTAGCGACCTGTTACCTGTAAATAATCTCTCAATCCACTCCATTCAGCACTCCATTGTCCTATAAATTTGATTGCAATAGTTTCACTTAAGGCTGAATCCCTTTGCGAAGGTTAGTTCATAATTATGAGATTAAATGTTCACAAGGACAAAGTATTAAGTTAATTACAAAATTTCCAATCAAATGAATTCAGTTAATATGGTTGACAGTTGTTAAACTTCATTGTTGAATAAGTAAATTATATACATTCTACAAACATAAATGTTACCTCTCTTCCCCTCTAACTATGTTTACCTACCTTTGGCTATCTGAAAAAGGACAACTGAGAAAAACTACACCCCTGACCTTTTTACTTACCTACCAAATGTGTCAGTACTTGAACACCCTCAGTGCTCAAACCACGGTTAGTAAAGAGAAAATATTACAAACTTGTATAAATGGATTATATACATTATTTTTTTTATTTGTAGTTTGTATAACTATTTACATATTTAATTTTAATATCTGTATTGCAATATAAGTTAAGATTCATGTACCATCAATCACTATGGTTTATTATTTGTAATTAGCGGTCGTATACTATTATATCTCTGATTGTAATTTAAAAAAACATTTTCAGCCCTGAAGATGACCCACATGTTAGGGTTGAAACGTTGGCAAAAATAAAAAAATTAAAAAAGACTGCGTCCTGAATATTTATCACCCATAAATGCATATTTTGATTAATTTAATGAAATAAGAAAAAAATATATATGTAAATGAATATGTATTTATTTATATATACAAATTAAAATGTAATATTGAAGATGCAATTCAAGATTACAATCCTAGGTTTATTTTCAATGAACAAAATCTACCACATTTGTAGACTGTATATACCTTCCACTAAACTCATTAATATTTAATTATCTTTATAGATGTTCTCCAATTTCTGGATACTCCTTTCCCCTTCTTGTCCCTCATAACTATCATACTAAGTTTATATTTTTAATTTGTTGCTTACGTTCTTAGCAAGAGATCATATTTCTGTTTATTTAAAATGCCCAAAGTATCTTCATTTTTATCAATGTTGAAACCTTAGATTGAACCTTAAAACAACAGAAACAAAATAGTTTTTACAATTAATGGAAAACCAGTGGTACCAGTCCAGTGGGTGAAATTTTAAATGAAAAAAAAATATTTAAAGGAGACGTTTCTATAAAAAATTCAGATCTCACAATTCTGTTAGGCATTAATAAAATTTTAAATGACAAAGATTCAATTGTTCCCCGTGACATTTGACACCATTCCGGTAATTTTATGTGGATATAAATTTATCTCTATCTCGTCTGTTGATGTGGAAAGATAATTTTTTTAAAAATAAAAATATTTTATAAAACGTTAGGTTTCACAGAAGCAAATTTACAAATGCTTCTGGTAATTAATTTTAATACAGAACATGTCTGCAAAGTAGACTAATTCAAATGTTTTATCTATTTTATGTTATTTATTCCACAGGTTGTTAATTTTGTTATTGTTTCAACAAA